CTCAAAAGAAACACTGTAGTGTTAATTTAATAATTAAGCAAAGAGACCAACTTTCATAGGAAGTTCTAGGGCTGTGTTCATTCTTTTATGTGTCAAAATGACACCAAAAACCATGGCTTCTAACTCAACAACTGAGACTGCTTTGAAAGATTTCCTTCCCTCACGAAGGCTTCAGATGTCTTTGTACATGCGGCAGGTTGGAAAGAAATATAAGACACTCCCTGATTTCTGTTTGAAGAGAAGCGCCTGCATGTATGCCAGGCTTATTCTGGTGTCTTTAACCTTGTTTATGTAGCTGCTCATAATAATTTAAATTCACGAGGTATACAATATAGGTGAGGGATTCAATTTTACAATTTTTATTTTTTACAATGCTATGTTACAATATTATACTCCAGAGTCAAAGACTGGAAACAAACCCGATAGATTACCTAGGGGAAAAAAAATCATCCATTTATATGTGAGAATACAAAGATCTTGACTAAGCCAAGGTCACGGAACGTCAGTTAGTCTGCCATCTCGACATCCTTCCGGACTCTATTCCAGCCGGTGCTTTCATGCAACTCCTAGCTAGAATTCTCCCTCTGATGCAACCATTAGCATTTGATGGAAAACATACCTTTGTGACAATATCATGACAATATCAACAATGCACCTCGATGCGACATGTGTCTTAACAATCTGTGAGCCATGGTTTTCTTGAGTCTTTCAAACCTAGAAGCCAGGTATTCTATTCTTCATCTTCTAAAGTATGTACCCGTACCATTTCAGCTCTGCAGCGTCAGTAACGAACTTCCTCACGCATGACTCTTCTAAATTTCAACTCACTCTACATGATGGGAACACACACACACACACCGTAGGCTAGAACTGTATCCCACTCATGAAGCATCAATTTAATAAATATTTATCAATAAAAAACTGGGAGTCAGATCAGAGAAGCAGGGAGCCGTCACCAGTCACCTCCTGCCTCTTCCATTTCTCCATCCAAAAAGGCCGAGATCCTCTCTCAGCCCTGCATCACTACTTCCTGTCTCCTCTCTGTCTATAGTCCTCCAAACATCTATGGTTATTTTGGTCAGCTAGTGGCTAGCTCTGCCCTCAGACTCCAAGCAAGTTTTATTTGTCAGAAGGTAGTCAAAACATCACAGAAAACACTCAGGCAAACGGAAACAGCTGCCCTGTGCCCTTTGAAGCCCTTCAAATGTACATGCCAGTAAGCAATATAGTGCTTCCACTGTCTCTGCTCCAGTTCCCACCTCCAGGTTCTTGCATAGAGTTCTTGCCCTACGTTTCTTCATGATAAACCGTAAACTGGAATCAACCCTTCCCTCTCCAGAGTTGCTTTATCATAGCAGCAAAAAGCAATCTAGCGCAGAAATTAGTACCAGAGACTAGAGTACTGAAGTTGCAGGCCGAACCATATTGGTTCTTTGAAGACTGAAAGTGATTTTTTTTTTTTTAGCTGTAGGCTTGAAAAGCTATTGAGTGTTCAATTCAACCGACTTACTGGGTTGTTCTGTAGGAGCTTGAAAGATAAGAGTGTTGAAAGAGATGAAAAAAAAATATAGGCCCAGCTCAGGAAATTTTAAAGGCAAGTAAAGACTCACTCAGGGCTGTTCCTATGATATCTTGAGTTGAAAATCTGTGTTTTCTTGTCTTTCTTCTTCAAGAAAAAGCTGTGATTAACCAGAGACCATACCTAAAGAGAAACCTTCGCTGTACTAGGACAATAGATGTGATTAGCGGGGGCTGAGAAACCAGCTGTAATTGAGAGGGGGAAAAAACAGTCTGGTTGAGGTGAAATCTTCCAGGGAGTATCTGCTCAGGGTCACCACCCCCCCAGAAGCTGTGATGCACAGGGGTCAATGCCGCACCAAGTGCTGGTAGTCAATTCTGGTAGAGTGCGAGAGTCCCCACGTGGTCGTTACTGGCAGCATGAGAGCTGCAGAACTCAAGGAGTCGGGGAGAAAAACCAAGGCTTGGCACTGGGTGGCAGAGTTGGAGGCACTGAAGGGAAGCAAGCAGGAGTCATTGGTGAGAACGCAGCCTCAGCTGCCATGGAAACTCAGCATGTTGTAGATGCCAAGAACATATGATGTCCACGAAGAACACCAGCAGATGTGGGGTGAGCAAGGCTGAGCCTTCCAGTCAGGGTGTGTTGTGGAGCACCAGAGAAGTGGAGCTGCCTGCACCTTTACCGCCCAGGGGATTGTGAGTCCCGGATATGGAACCTTGAGCTAGTTAAACTGTTGAGTTTGAGGTTTGCTTTGGTTTTGTTATAACTATGCCCTGGTTCTTCCCTCCTAGAATAAGAAATATTTAACTTTTTTGTTTGCTTGCTTTTTAATTTTATAGGAACCCATAGTTGCAAGAGTATGGATTTGTAAAGGTTTTTTTTACAGAGAACTCGGTTGTTGGGGGAGGCAGCTAGTTAGTTCCGACCATTTAGCCCCAAAATAATCACACAGAAACTATATTACTTAAATCACTGTTTGGCCCAATATCTCTAGCTTCTTATTTGCTAACTCTTACATCTTAATTTAACCCATTTCTAGCAATCTGTGTATTGTCATGTGACTGTGGCTTACTCTGTAAAGTTTCATCTGGCAACTGTCTCTGGTGGGGCTACATGACTTTTCTCTGACTCTGCCTTCCTTGCTATGGGTCAAGCCAGTTTCTTTATTCATTAACCAATAAAAGCAACACATAAACAGAAAGGTCTCCCACACCACTCAGTCTTTTTATATTATTAGATTTTTTTTAAAAAAAACAATACCAATCCAAATTCCCACTCCCTCCTCTCCTCCCATTCCCTCCACACACTCTCCCACCCCATCCCCCTCTATATGAACAAAGAGGTCAAGACCGTGAAGGGTTCATCCACTGAAACAGTTTACCTGACTAATCAGAGCTCACCAACTTCAACTGGGTTGGAACAAGCATAGAACCAAATTAGTCCTTCTGAATGTGGCTGACAGTTGTATGGCTGGGGCACATTGAGAGGCCACCAGCAGTGACACTGGGATTTATCTCTACTGCATGCACTCAGTCTTTTAAAATGCTTAAATTTGTAAGGACTCTGGGACTTTTAGCATTATATTGTGCTTTATATTGTGATAATAACAAGAGATCTGAGGAATATACAGGAAAGGAAAGGTTACTGGTTTAGGAGTGGTTTGTTTGTCAAGTTGACAAGGAGTCGGTTGTGCTGGTTAGTTCTTCATCAGCTTTGACACAAGCTGAAATCATCTGAAAAGAGGAAAGTTCAGTTGAGAAGATGCTTATTAGACTGACCTGTAGGCAAATCTGGGGGTAGTTCATTTTCTTGACTAATGACTGATGTGTGATGGCATAGCCCATTGTGGGTGGTACCACCCTTAGAAAGTAGCCCTGGATTGAAAAAAAAATTAAAAAATAAAAAAACCTGAGAAATTCTGGGGAGCAAGCCAGTAAGCAGTGTTCCTCCACAGTCTGCTTCAGTTCCTGGTTCTGCTTCTGCCCTGCTTATGCTCCTGCTCTGGCTTCCTTTCATGATGGACTGTAAACTAGGAGCTACAGGATCAAATAAACCCATTCCTCCTCCAAGTTGCCTTTGATCATGGTGTTCTATCATAGCAACAGAAAGCCAATGGGTATAAAACACATTTGCTGGTTAGGGTTTACTATCAATTTGACATAACCTAGAGTCACCAGGGAAAAAGAAACAATTGAGGAATTGCCCGATTCTGATCAGCCTGCATTAGTATCTGTGAAGGGATTCTTTTGACTGGTAGTTTGTGTGAGAGAGTGGGTAGCACCATGCCTTGGCCGGTGAGCCTCAGCTGTATAAGAAAACTAGTTGCAAAGGAAAATGTAGGCTTACTCATCTATACTTTCTGAGAATTGCTCTATAGAATAAAGTTTAAAAACGAAAGGAAAAAATAGCTGATTAAGTCAGAAGAGTCAGGAAGCAGAATTCCTCAATGGTTCTTGTCTCCAAGTTTCTACTTGAGTTCCTTCCCTGACTGCCCTCAAAGATGGGTTATAATCTAGAGGTGGAAGCTAAATAAACCCTTTCCTTCTCAAGCAGTTTTTGGTCAAAGTGTTTTATAACAGCAACAGAAATTAAATTAGAATAAGACAGGTAGACAGGAGGTTCAAAATAGAAGATTAGATAATAGATGATAGATAGATAGATAGATAGATAGATAGATAGATAGATAGATGATAGATGATAGATAGATAGATAGAAACATATATTCATAGATGAAAGAAGATAGATAAATACAAACAGATATACATAGATGAATGATAGATAGATAGATAGATAGATAGATAGATAGATAGATAGATAGATGATCCAAATGGGTGGGGTACATAGGTAGTCGATAGATAGAAGCAGATAGATGATAAATAGAAAGGTAGAGATAGAGAAATTAAGTAATAGATTTAGAATAGTTATCTAGATAAATAATAGAAGGTAGATAACTGTGAATAGAGATTAATAGAGATGAGTAGACTTAATAGGTAAATAGAAGATAAAAAAGATAGTTGATAGATCAGTGATAAGTAGATAGATAACAGATGGATAATTGATAGAAATTGATGATTGATATAGACAGATGATAGAAGATAGGCAAATGACAGATGAAAATAAATGGCTAATAGCTACAGGCAGACAGTTGATAGGTAGGTAGAAGATAAATCCATAATTTCTGGAAGTAGACAAATAATTGGTAGAGATAGCTTATTGATACAAATTAATAACGGAAGACAGAGATAGAGGATGAGTGATAGGTGGCTAATAGAAGATAAAAGATCGGTAGATACAATGAATGATTGACAAATGATTGAGAGAGTAGATAGATGAATTATAGATAATCTTTATTGTCAGGCGGCACATGGAGCCAGTTATCTACTGAAATGGGTCAGTGTACACGAAACGAGTCCCCCAACGATAGCACGACAGTGCATAAATGTCCTTGGTGAGTGCCTGAGCAAGTCCTCTCTGCCCTCAGGTCGACGCCCATGGCAATATTCTCCTCAGCACACTGGAAATCAGGAATGAGACCAGCGGCTCCGAGGTGCTCACGGGTGTGAGTGACCCCAAGGCCACCATGTACTCCTACGACAGCGCCAGCATCCAGTACCGCAAGCCACTGAGCAGCCGCGAGGGCTTTGGGCGCGGGCTGGACAGGCACGGGGTGCCAGGCAAGGGGCGCATCCGCAGGCGTGCCTCGCAACTCAAAGTGAAGATCCCTGACTTAACTGATGTGAACTCCATAGACAAGTGGTCCCGAATGTTTTTCCCCATCACATTTTCTCTTTTTAATGTCGTTTATTGGCTTTACTATGTACACTAAAGTCAGTGTCATGGTTCGGTTTAGACTATCTTCCTTGGCTTGTTTTCTAACCCCACACTCTCCCAACAGCGATTACTGCTGTGGTTTTTTGAGGTAAGAGATTCAGCCATTCAATTGGTTTTCGGTATTGCGTGTCAGTTTTTATTATCACACCATGTTTACTTCAACAACAACAAAAGGTATTTTTTTCGTGTGTACAGTGGTCCAGGTTACTAGCTCTCTACGCATTCCATCAATTGCTTTGTTTACAAACACAAAAGGAGATGGGTGGTAGCTACTGTTGGTAGTCTTTCCTAGTCGCCCTGGATCTCACTGAATAATTTGAAAATGAAAATGTACAGTGGACTTGCTGTCCACCTGCACTGTGTTCTGAGAAAGCTGTAATCATCTCATTCTGCCAAAAAAAAAAAATTTTTAATGACAGGAAAAAAACACAGCTAACTTCAGCATCTCAGAAGAATAAAGCCATTTGACAAATAGCAGGTTTCCAGGAAGCAGGGATATAACAGACAATTCCCCTCCCCTCTGAAGTTCTCCTGGGTCCCTTCTAGAAAGGCTTCTCAGCTCTGCAGAAGAGGGACACCAAAGCCAAGTGTTAGTCACCTTTTCCCCCAAACTCACCCTACTGCGCCCATCTAACAGTGACCATGGCTATCCTTAAAAGTGTTTCTTTCTCAAAATGCCCAGATGGTCAAAGTTAGCATTCAAATCCAGCCTGATCTAGCTGGTAGTCACTGAGAACATTTCAGGGGGGGGGTGGAAATCAATCTTTTTCTTGCTGACCATTGTGGGAAGCAGCCCTGCCTGGCCTTCGTAAACCTTGGACTCTCTTAATGCCATGAAAACCATGTGGTCATATTTCCACAGTCCCTTCTCTAGAAAGGAAGAGAGAAAGGACATGTGGGGTCCAGCTGGTGAAGGATTTGAAGGAGATGAAGATCAATTTTTTTTTTTACCTTGAGAAAAAAAAATGCTATTTCTCTGAGAAAGGCAAGACTTATGTGTTATGAAAAGGTGCCTGGGCGGTTAACCACACTGCCAAATCTTAAGTCAAATTGTATGTATCGCCTAGCTTTCCAGAGAGCAGTGTCTAATAGTGATAGGCTCATCACACGGGACTCCACTGGAACTGTTTTGTTCTGTTTTGTGAGCTCTGCATTTCAAACAACAAAATGCATGGCCTGGGAAATGCTCACCCACCATGTCAGTGTCTCCCTCCAAAGCCAGATTTCCAGCTTAAAGAAACCTTTAAAGCAGCAAAATCACAGAGAGAAGAAACTCATCACAACAAAACACTGAGCCTTTAATCGTGTGCACTGGCCCCTGAAGTGGGGACCCTGCCTGTCTACACGCATTCATCACTGTCACTGCACAGCCTCATCTGTGCTGCTGCGTGAGTCTGGGTCGTGGGTCTTGTGACTTTCAATAAAGCGACACAATTGTAAACATGCTCAACAAGCTGCTGCTGAGTCCATCCCATTTTATGCCATTAAAGCCTCGTTTGCTTTCAGAATGAGTTTGTAAGATGATATATGTCTATTTGCAAGGTTGAGTGAGGGCACAAATTGACCAGCCATGGATGGAGGCCACGATCCATGCATGTGATGAGGAACTGAAGGACTAATCGAGATGACTGCCTCGTTTGATAGTCTGGCTCGCCTCTCAGAAGAGAATCAATGTGCGGGGCAGTGAGAGCTGGTAAAATTATAGTCAGCTGGAAAGGGAAAGCTGGAATTCCTGAGAATGAGTCCAAGGGGATAATATGAAAAATACATTTAGAGACAAGAGGAAAAGAAAAACCTTAAATAAGCGAGTGTGGCTGGATGTAATAACAAACACTAGTAAAAATATGAAAGTCCCACTACACCTTTTAAAAAAAAAAAACAAACTGACCACACCAACTTCTTGAGGAGTGCTGCGATTTTGAGGACAAATTCTCATTTAGGTTATCAGGAAGTGTAAACACGCTTCCCAGGCTGAGTTATGCTCAACCTATGGTCACAGGGTCATCCATCGATGTAAAGCTCTGCTCAGTTCCCAAGGCTGGCATGCCATGCCATGCACAATGCCAGGGCAGAGTAGAATGGAATGGGGGTTCCTGTTGCCAATGAATACCCAGGAACTACCATGCGGTCATTTATTTTAAACATAGGAAGGGAAATATCTGCCTGATGTTGAACAGAAACTAATCATTATGATGTCAAAGCTCTTTAAAAGGCTTTCAAGAAAGAAATACTGAAGCAGAAAAGACTGTGATCATTTGGTTTTTCAGTTCTATGTTTTCCTTTCTAAAATCTATAGTGATTTTGTTGTAGTTTTAGATATAAAGCATCTTTTGCAGAAGAAAAAAAAAACATTTTGAGCTCCTACATTTTAAACTTTTAAAATGTAAAATGATTGGACCTGAACTGCCCACTGGAGACATGAAATGGTATGGAGATCACAGCCACCATTATGCAAATCCGATCAAATGGCTTTGACCTCGGAGGCAATGGAAGCCCACAGCCTTGAAGAGCTGTCACACTTGTGGGTCAAGATCTTTGTCATAACTTCTGAACACCTCCCAGACTAATCCATTCCTCTCTGCTCCCTTCCCAAGCCAAACAGTAACAGGGAAGCACCTTCCTTCTCTGCCACTCTCCCTCTTCTTGCCCTAAATGTTGTAAATGAAAAATAAACGTCAGTAAACATTCTTAAATGTTCTCACACTGGCCCCCCACTGGTTGAAAGATTTCGCTTACATTATACAAAAGTTATTGTTTAACTATGATTAAATTGATTTCTTCTTGCCCTGAAAATAGCCGTAATCCCCTCCATCAAGGAAAGGAAGAAACTGAAAATGACAGACCCCCTCCCTGATGCCTCATTTACACCCAGAGCCTTGTGTTCCACAGCGCAACTGTGGGACTGATTGTGTGAAAGACTTACCCTGATGTGGGAAGAGCAGACATCACACCTTTTACTTGACAATAACTGCACACTCACCCCTTCTTCCCATATTTTTTCCTTGGCTTAAAATATCAGCTGTTCCTTCCAGTTAGCAGTTCTCTGAGGCAAATACCCAGGTGAAGGCTCATTTCTGCTTGAATAATCCAGGATTAGTATCGCCATCACCTCTGTTGCCAAACAGAAACAGCAGCTGGCTGGCAAGTCTGCTGAGTGAATAGCCTGTGTTTGTGTGCACGCTACCTTTATTGTGCATTACAGTCAATGATGGATCTTAATTCAGTGAGCAAAATGTGGTGCAGAGAAAGAGTAATGATTTTAGGGTCTGGAAAGATGGGCTTTCCTTAAAAAACATGTCATAGAAAATCAACAAAATTCTATAGTCCTAAATCAATGACTATTTTATGAATATTTGTTTAGAAAGGTTTTATTACAATCTACCAAGTTAAACAAAAAAGGATACAGAATAGTCCTTCTAGAAGAAAGTCTTCTAGTCCAAGATTTCTCATGTCCCAAATTCTGAACAGTATCTTGTCAAAGGGTGATGCACCGCCATTTGTTTATTAAAATATCATCATGTATCCTAGGAAAAGGTGAAAGGAATGTGCAAGCATTCGCTCAAGATGGTTCAATCAGCTGTCTCTGGGATGAACAGAAGAGAAAAACATGTATCTGAAAGAAAACGCAAAGGTACATTGGTTAATGGAATGTGGGCTATTGTGTAAACTACCTTGTAAATTCTGTACATAGTTCACTGAACTGTTCCCTGTGATGTGCTGGTCCTCAACTTTGGGTGGATGTTTGGAAACTTGAGTACTGTAAATAATGTAAGTTTATGAAGCATTTGCTTTTGTTCATAAAGTGAAATGATTAGTGATTTGGGCCTAAATCAGAATCTCTCCAGCTCTGGCTCTTCCATGCAGACAGTTGGGTGACTCTGCTGTAAGCCATAGCCAGGTGTCTGTGATCACTGCCTCATGCCTTTACCGACAGCAGCTGCCTAGAAGGCTGCCAACCTGTGGGGCCAAAGAACAGAGCACCAGCAGAAACCAGAACTGGAGCAATGTGCTCCGTGAACAGTCACGAAAAGCAGAGAAGTTGTTTTCAGTCACTGCGGCTATTTGTATCATCCAGAACTGAATTACCGATGCTGTTCAAGGGGTCAGGGATTGAAGGGATGCTTAACACCCACAGGTAATCCAAAGCTTCATTTGCACCAATAGCTTTAGCTTCTAAACTATGTTTTCTAGAACTTCTAATAAGATTAAAAATGAATAGAATAGTTGGGTTTCATCAGGGTGGACAATAAACATCCAAAGGATAGGCAAGGGTACAGAGAGAGACAATAAATGTCCTTGAGAGCACTAGGTGGCAGACACATACCCGTAAGGTACAGAGGTAACTATGTTCTTAGTTTTAAAGGTAGAGAAAAATTCTGGTGTGAACTGATTGAGAAGGCAAACAAAAGCATTTAACGTGGGGAAGGGCACGTGCAGTGTGAGCTGCTTGAGTCTGAAGAACCTGGTAATTAAATATTTCCAGATATTATTTTCTCCAAGTTTTCGGGGTTCTTTCAGAAGTCTTCAGGATGTGGGCTGTTATGACACAGAGTGTGTTTCCAAGCAAACCCAGAGAGGGGGATGGCACCAAAAGAAATTCAAAATGTCCAAGCAATTGAAGATTGAGATTGGCTTCTTAGTGGTAGAGAGAAAGGTGTCCTCCTCAAAGGTAAGGTTCTTTGTGTCATTTTACATGGTAGGAGAGCATACACAGAGAGCTATTATTTTGGAACATTTTAATCCTGAGACGTGCCCCACCACCAACGAAACACACAAAACACACCTTGGTGGAACTAATCCATTCTGCCAATTTTCAGGTTAGAACACATTGTGACTTTTCCCTTAGCTTTTCTTCAGAAGGCAACACATCAGCAGGAATGATTGAAAGCGTAATTGTTGGGATCTGCAGCAAGCATTTGAAAGAAGTTCTTTTTAATAAACGAATTACAAAATAGAAAATATTGAATTCATAAAAGGGTAAGAATGAGGGTTCTGTGTTTGTTCTGACACCTCCCACGGCAGGAATTTCCCATTAAATCTGAAGCACTCTAACAGGTTTTTTCAGAAATCTTTGGCATATTAACGGACTCACATAAGGGACTCAATCAT